CTCTTACTAGTGTAAGATACAGAGGCATTCCTTTACATTTTGATATCTTTGAGATACAAGTTATGTTCTTCATTAAAACCAGTTAATGCATTTATGCAGAATAGTCAAAATGTACACTCAATCATACTTTAATATTTCTCTCTTTCTAAAAAAGCTATCTGTGCCACTAGTGAAGAGAACAAGCTCTCACATTTCTCATTTTCAATAAAACATTACCATCTTTTACTCACTCCTCCCCCCCTCACACTGGGGAAAATAAAATTTTACATGTGGAGAAGTTCTAAATGCTAGACAGAAATGATCCTTAGAGGGCAATTTTTATCCTCCACGGAAGTAATGCAGACTTCTTCCATTAGCATAGTCCCAGGGAGCAAAAGGTTAGGGAACTGGGACCGCCAACTCTACCTGAACACATAAGTCAACATTTCCTCCAAGTGGTGAGGGAGTGCGAGACTGCACCCACATGTGCATTAAAGTATCTGAAACGAGAAACAATAATTGCAATATATTACATTGGGATATACTGTACAGATGGTGACATTTTGTTTGTGGTTGTAGGGAAGAAAGGAAGGCAGTTTCCAGATCCCCCCCTCAACACCTACCACTTGGCATAGGATGTGGAAGTTGTTGAAGAAAGCTGAGGGGGTTTTGCCTCAGTTGAAACAGCTGGGGAACAGATGGAAGCTGATGTATAATTTGCCAAAGGCTTTATCCAAGGTCCCCACCCATTTTCCACCAAAGAAAAGTTAGTCAGGTGATTGCAGAAAAAAGCTCAGGGTCAAGAAATGCTGGAATTTGGAAAGTGCAGGAGAAACAGTCAAAAAAAATTAAATCCAAGACTATAGGAAATGCAAGTTCAAAATCGCAATTCCAAGGAGCATGTTTTTAATAAGAAGGAAAACATGGAAGCATTATGGGTGAAAACCGCAACAGAATTGTTAAAACAAGGATAAAAGTATCTTTAGAACTACCTCAATCACATGTATGATTTCTTTTTAGGTGATGATAGGAAGAATGGCATACCTATTCTTTGTAATATTGAACATAATTATATTATTTGTGATTATTATAAATTCAAGTATGTGCAATCCACATAGTTTTAGCTGTTGAATTTTACTGTGAGTTATTTTGGTTGCTGTGAACTCATTCAGTAAGTTCCTTTTGGATTTAAATATGAATTATCCCCAAACTTGTTCAAAGTCATCACTATGTGTATAAACCTCCTTTTGTATATTTGAATGGGTGTGTGTATGGATAGAGTACCTGTGTTCATTCCTTAAACCATTGGACCAAACTTTGCATTTCTATAGTTTGTGTTTGTGGTATTTTAAAAATCTTTTGAAGTACCACAAAAGTAAAGGAAATAGACTTCAAAATTAAATAATAGATAATAAGCTTGCTTGGTTGTAAACTTGCTCATTCATGCTTATATAATGGAATGTGTTCATCATGAATCATTCAAATTGAATTGTTCATGAGAAAATATGCTCTAACTTGGCTGGCAGCTTCCAGCTTTGCTGTACTGAAAGGAAAAGAGCATTGTCTCCACATAAAGAATAATCAGTCACAGATTTTAGAGATTTTAGACTAAGCAAGGCTCTGAGTTGGCAAAAACTTCATTAATTCAGTGATAATAGGGATCCTTGTAAGAGGATATTTTAGGTTGGAATTGAGCTTACAGCCTTTCAGAATAGTCAAAGGGAAAGCAGTTTTTTTAAAAAAAAAATTGCGTTACCTGAAAGTTTTACTCATTCTGTACTGAACAGCTTCATGGTCCAAAGACATAAGGGTTGGGAAGTCTGGAGCTAAAGAATAGTGGATGATAGAATGCAGTTTCCAGTCAGTGCCAGGTTAAGTTGGCATTGATTAAACATGGGCTGAGCCATCACACATCATCTATTAGGTAACTAACCTGGTCCCAGGGGCTTACTCTACAATACAGTTTAGCTCATGTGTGACCTATCACAGACCACTTCTTGCACTGGATAAAGTCCTTCCTGTGCTGCCAAGGTGGGGAGCCATTAAATACAGGAGAAAGTGACAAGTCCAGAAATGCGGTCAATAAATTATGAAGCATTTCTGACAGTGCCAATGCACCAGCCAGTGAAACATATTATGTGATCCCTTAGAGGAAAATTAATCCCTTAGTGCCAAAATTTTGATGCAAGCCTATTACTGTTGCTACTAGACTTAGAAATCTTTACATTTGGTTAATTCAATTCTGGAAAGGGTCAAACCTAATTTTTTTACAATAGAGTGCCTTGTCAACCGGATTTCCATTATGTACGGTACTTTTTACTTTAGTCAGACTTCCTCCAGGGAAGCAGAAAGGAAAAGAACTTTGAAAAGAGGGAGGTTAGTATATTTCAACATTGTGGGAAGAAATGTAAATATTTCTTGAAAACAACCTTTCCTCATCCACTTTTTTCCCATATTCCAATCTCTTCCACACCTATACCTTGATGCCAGTGTTCATTGGACTATTTTGTTTTGACTGTTCATCAATTTATTTCATTTCCTTTCTTAATTAAATTTTATTTCATTTTATTTTCCATTTCTTTTATCCGTAGTATTATAGGAAAGGCTCTTCAGCAAATGGTACAGGAAAACTTGACAGTGATGGACAAAAACAAAGAAATGGTATCACTAAAAACAGACACAAAAATTCGCGCCACATGAATTATAGATTTGAATGTAAGAACACAAACCATGAAATGCATTCAAGATATTGTTGATACTCTACATAGGGCCACAACATCAGAAACTTATTTCGAATAAATTACATAAGGAAAGGAAATTAAGGCAAGAATAAAAGGACCTAGATCATTTAAAAAATTTTTAACACAGCAACAAATAAAAAAACACCAAAAACTTTTGTCTTTTATATTCTAACTTATTTTATCTCACATAATCCCCTTTTCATTGGGTTGCAAGTAACGAACTTTTGCTCCTTTTATAGTTTACTGGATTCTATTGTGTGCTGATACCACAGCTTCTTTTTCTAGTTATCTATTAATGGGCATTTTGATTGTTTCCAAATCTTAGCTATTGCAAATAATGATGCAAAAACTTTAAGGTGAATATAATTTTTGAGTTAATAATTTCGAATTTTTAGATAGATATCCAGAAATGGGATTGCTCGATCATATGATAGTCATGAGGGAGCACCCGGCTATTTTCCAATGGAAAATGAAAAAGAAGCTTAGGTACTCCAAATTATCATGATTGAGTTGCCATTATACTAAAGATGAACTTGATGAGAATTACAGAAGCTAGTATAATTGCCTGTACTTAGCTTATGAGGTGTTAAAAAGGATAGAGAAATATTATTTTTATAGTATACTGGTGATGTTTTTCAACTTTATTGCAGGATACTACAAAGATATATTAGATTCTGTATTCTATGGATCCTTAGAAAGAAGATGGAATGTTATACTATAAATTATCATGAACTTTTATGAATTTATGCTATATATAAATTTCACATCATGCATTTATTTCATATATAATCTAAAAATTTTATTTTATTTTATTTTTGCTTTTTGCGTCACAACTAGCGATGCACAGGGGTCCTTACTGGCTCTGCACTCAGGAATTACTCCTGACAGTGCTCGGGGGACCATATGGAATGCTTGAAGTCTAACTCAGGTTGGCCATGTGCAAGGCAAATGCCCTACCTGCCGTGCTATTGCTCTAGCCTCTATAATCTAAACATTTTAAAACTTTCTATTTTCAAGTTATATAGACATAGCTTTATAGATAACATATGGGACAGTGCTACACAAACTAATAGAACAGTATTTTTCAGTCTTATCCTCTTGGAGCATTCTAAGCGCATATATGTGTATATACATATACATGTATGTGTATATGTGTATATATACACATATGTATATATTTATATATGTGTGTGTGTGTATGTATGTATGTATGTATGTCGTGGCCGTGTGACAACTTTTTTAGTTTGGAGAACCTGGCAGGCTATCAAAAGTATCCTGCCCGCACGGCAGAGTCTGGCAAACTTCCCGTGTTGTATTCAATATGCCAAATACCAGTAACAATGATGAGTCTCATCCTCCTCATCCTGAAAGAGCATTGAAATGGCTCTTTTAAAATCTCAGCGCTAGGAAGGAGACGTTACTGGTGCCTGCCCTAGACAATCTACGAAAAACAGGATGATCGTGATCGTGATGTATGTATACCAAAGAAATGGTATCACTAAAACCAGACACAAAAATTTGTACAGCGTGAATTACAGATTTGAATGTTAGAACGCAAACCATGTGCAACACGCACAAACCAGAAAGTGTTGTCTTTCATCTCATATAATCCTCTTTCCACAGGGATACAAACAATAAACTTTCACTCTTTTCATAGCTCATCAGAACTCTATTGTATTTCTCAATAGAATTGTACACTATTGTATAGTTCAATAGAATTTTATTATATTACACACAGATATATATGTATATGTATACATATATTCTATTACACACATATATGTATATATTTATATATATATGTCACATTTATCTATACTGAGCTTGACTGTACTTTTGAGACACAGGTCTCACATTTGATCACACAAATATTTATATACTGGTTACAGTTCTTTTTTTTTTTTAGGATCAGTCTGTTTAATTGTACTAGATCACAAGTAAATATGTTAAGTAAATCTGAGACAAAATTTATATCTTTTCTGCTTCCTAGAGAGGTTTTTTATTTTCCTGTTGCTGTTGTAAGAACAGTTCCACGTTTTGCTTTTATTTTTAAAGAAGATAAATAGATGCTTCCCTAATTAAGGTAGGGGTTCGTAACTTCAGGACAGAAGTCTATCTTGCCCTGTAACCTAGTTCAGTCTGACTGTCTTTGGTTTATGTTTCTCTCATTTAAGTAATTAGATAATAAATGTCTGTAATAGGATTTATAATACTGAGAGTTTTTGAGTAAATGAACTAAATCAAATTTTCTCTTCTGTTGTGGTTTTTGTTGTTTTCTAGACTCCCAGGAAGGAAACTACAAGTCAGAAGTGAATAGCAAACCCAGAAAGGAAAGGACAGCTTTTACCAAAGAGCAAATCAGAGAACTTGAAGCTGAGTTTGCCCATCATAATTACCTGACTAGACTGCGACGCTATGAGATAGCAGTGAATCTGGATCTCACCGAAAGACAGGTGAGGTTGGGCAGTGCCATGTAATGATATTTTTTAATTGCTTTAGACTAAAAATTGTCTTTCTTTTTTATATATTTAAATCCCTGGGTGATTTAAATATCAATTGGACAATTGACATACTGTCTCATAAAGTTTTTTCCACCCAACTGACACATTTAAAGACATCAGTATCACATATATATGCATATATAATATATATTACATGTATTATATATATAAATTTATTTTGGTTTGGGAGACAATATCTGGTGTTTCTCAGGACTTACTCCTGGCTTTACACTCACGAATCACTCTTGGTGGGCTAGTGGGTGCTAGGATCAAACCGAGGTCTGCTATGTGCAAGGCAACCACCCTACTCCCTGTACTATCTCCCCACCCCCCAGTAACAAGATAGCAATGTTTTAAATAAAATTATAATCATTCGATTTAAGAATGATTTTTTTCTGCCATGCCTTTCCAATGTTTTTGGTTCAGAGTACTATTTATTTTATATAAAGATGATATATGGTGAGGAATTTTATTTGTTCACATTTTTAAATTTTCTTATTTTGCAATGACAAATTAGTTTCATTATTACTCTAGATAAGATGCAATAAGGTGTTACTGCAATAAGGTGTTGCAGTTGCAGTAACACATTAACTTCTAAATCTCTAAAGTATAACTTAAACAATTTTTTTCTCACTTCTCATACTGAACTTTGTTAAGTCCAGCATTGAAAAGTATTATTGGTCCAAACTGAATCTCTGGCATCTTGACTGCTATTGTCCTTGGTAACCACCAAGAGGTAAGGAAAAGTTGATGTTTCTTCTAAACACTTCAGTTGGAAATGAATCATGCCACTTCTGTTTACAATCTAATGTTCAGAAATTATCAATGGTACCAGTAAAGTTCAAGGAAGCTAAGGTAAGTAGGGGTATATAATCATTGTAAACATTTCTGCCCTGTTGGTAAACTATTTTTGAAATTGCACTGCTCTCTGACATGCAAACTTTAGGTACTCATTTATGTTGTAAACTTCAAAGTTATTAATGATCTACAGATCTAGTGGGCTGGAGCGATAGCACAGTGGTAGGGCACTTGCCTTGCATGCAGCCAGTCTGGCCGAGACGGGTTCAATTTCTCCGCCCCTCTTGGAGAGCCTGGCAAGCTACCGAGAGTATCCCGCCCTCACGGCAAAGCCTGGCAAGCTATCCATGATGTATTCAATATGCCAAACACAGTAACAACAGTCTCAAAATGGAGACATTACTGGGCCCACTCGAGCAAATAGATGAACAACGGGATGACAGTGTTGACAGTGTTGACAGATCTAATAAATAATCGCTAATATTATTTTGGACTAATAACATTCTATGTTCTTTCTTGGATTTTATTTTAATGATTAGATTACTCCAATGAAGTTCCCTAATGCACTCCCTTTATCTATTCTTATTTGCTTTAGTATCTAGCCTATGGATAGTTTACTGTTGGTAATCCTTAACACATATGCAAGCAGCTTCTTGGACAGTGCACATATGATTGATGCTCTACAGATAGGGTCTCATTTGCTTTCTTTATCTACCACTTCCCTAGTGGAACCAAGTAAACTTCAACAGGGTATTGGTAAATTACCATATATGACAAGACAGTTTTTCAGTTGCTGAATTTATCTAGCATTTCTTCTCTTAATTTACAAGTTCAGTTTTGTAAACGGTTTTGGGGTAGAGAAAATATACAGATGCATACTTTCATCTGGTTTTGTGGACTGGTAGATTATATATTAGTATTATGACTGGTACCCAACTTAAGCAATACAGGATTTTCCTTTCCTTGAACTTCACATATAAATCTGGTTCTATAAGCATGCATTTGAATTTCTGGAAAGCAGTTTCCAAAATCAATAACATCAGACATCTGTTTGATTTTTTTTTCATCTGAGAGTGGGGTGGGAAGGTAAGAAATAAGAAATAAATAGTCTTATATTAAGTCTGTGAATTTTAGGAAATATAACACTGCTGTAACATCACTAAACGTGAAGGAAATTAGAAAACAGTTGACAAAAATGATGGAATTTGGTACTATGTCAAGAAAAAAGTGAGTTCTGTGATTTCTAATCTGGAAATTGTGACTTTGATTATCTGATCCTAAAGCAGAGATTTTTTATTTCTGGTTAAGAATAATTTATTTTTAGAAGCAATTCTGTCTTTAACTTGGATATTTTGTTTCTATATACTTTCAAAAGTTTATTATTGTTTTATTCAGTTCACTTCTTTGTTTATCTGTGTACCACATATGAACACTTTATGTTTGTCTTTCTCTCTCTGACTTATTTTACTAAACTTATTAACTTCTAGGTCCATTCTTGTTGCTACATAAAGGGTTTTACTTCTTTTTAAGACTGAGCACTGGTCTACTGTATAGTTATACTATATGATTACCTACATCAAAGTCCTATAAATTGAAGTTATTTTAGATAAACTTTCTTCACAACTTTCTATTTATAGATAATTATAAGTGCAATTCCATGTATAAATTTATATACATGTATATATACATACAAATTTATATACAAATTTATATACATGTATAATACATACAGATATATATGTATGTATATATGCATATGTACATATATGTATAGGTATGGAATGGAGTGATAGCACAGTGCATAGGGCATTTGCCTTGCATGAGGCCGACCTGGGTGACCTGGGTTGGATTACTCTGCTTCTTTTGGAGAGTCTGGCAAGCTACCGAGAGTATCTTGCCCGCACAGCAAAGCTACCCATGACGTTTTCGATATGCCAAGCACAGTAACAAGTCTCACAATGGAGACGTTAGTGGGCCCGCTTGAGCAAATCGATGAACGATGGGAAGACAGTGCTACAGTGCTATGTATAGGTATATACATGCACACCTTTTTTAAAGATCCCTTTCAGTTTTCTATCAGTTACTTTTTTCTATGTAGTAAATGGCTGAAAACTCTTAGTGACTTCAAATAATAAGAAATATTTTATTTATTGCAAATTTGTGTGTCCAGAATTTTGACTGAACTCTAGTGGGTGGTTCTACTGCTGCCCTTCCTTACCTAATATATTTTCTTAGGGCTGTAGTCAGTGAGAGAATGGTTTTCTCCTCTGGGACCACTTGCCTCTGTTGCATGCAGTTTTGTTTAATAATTGATTCTTTGATATTCCTAAATGACAGTAAAATTATTCCTGGTACTACTTCAAGGCAAAGGAGGTTACTGCATTTGAATATAAATTTTCAGTCAAAGCTAAGTCTGTAGAGAACTCTTTTATAACAGAAAGATTAAACTGTTTTAAGAAAAATATGGAGTCCCCAAACCCAGATTTATTATTTGTAGTTCTGTGCAAGTAAACAGGGAACAATCTCCTCAAAGCACAAAATGAAATTAAAACTACCTGCTCTTTATTTTGTTCATGTTTATACATCAGCATAAATCTTAAAGTTATTTTACCATAAACTATAGAATAAGTACCATCTAGAGGTAGGAGATGCTTTTTTCTTCTAAAAAATATTTTTAAATTTTTTATTGAATCACTGTGATAGAACATTAAAAATTTGTTCATGATTGTATTTCAGTCATACAGTGTTCCAATACCTACCCCTTCACCAATGTAGTTTTCCAGCACCAGTGTCCCTAGTTTCTCCACAATCCTTCAAACTTCCATCTCCCAGACCATTGACTAACCACTGGCCAGTCCTCCTGGCTCGTTTTCTTTGGCCTTGGATATTAGTTTCATACTGTTTTATTTTTCATATCCCCTCAAATAAATGCAGTCATTCTATATCTCTCCCTTTCCTTCTGACTCATTTCACTCATCATGATGCTCTCCAAGTCATCCATTTGTAGAAAAATTTCATGACCCCATTTTTTCTAACAGCTGTGTAGTATTCCATTGTAGAAATGTACCACAGTTTCTTTATCCATATATCTGTTCTCAGGCACTTAGGTTGTTTCCAGATTCTGGCTATTGTGAGTAGTGCTGCAATTTACATAGAGCTGCAGATGGTTTTTCTGTTGTGTGCTTTTGGACCCCCAGGGTATATTCCCAGACATGGTATTGTTGAATCAGATGGAAACTCAATTTCTAGTTTTTTGAGGAATGTCCATATTGTTTTCCAAAAAAGGCTGGACCATTTGGCATTCCCACAAGCAATGATTAAGGGTTGTTAGGAGATATTTTCTATCCAATTCTCTTCCAATAAAATGATTGAGCTATCAGCTAGAAATAAAAATCTTATTAATACAAGCTAGAAAGACTTTGCTAAAATGGACAGAAAATACAAAATTAAGGCAAGTATTAACAGACCACATCATATTCAATCGGCGGTTTTGCCTAACCGATGTTGCTGTTGTCCCAAAATTCCAAACGGGATCAGACCACCGTCTTCTTCGTGCAAAATTCTACCTCACAGAACGAGGAGAAAAGAATGCAAGGTTTAAGAAGAAGACTCCCAGAACAACCACCAACTGGGAACTCTTTGGCTCTGTTGCAGCAACATGGGAAGATGCCGTCATTGACAACATTGATGAGGAATACGATCGAATGATTCAGCACCTCCATGATTGTGCAAGGAATGCCAAGAGAGAGATAACCACAAAAAACCGTCTTTCTTCGAACACTCTTGAACTTATTCGCCAACGTGGCGTGGCACGTGCCTCAGGCAACCACAAGCAAACGTCCGAACTGGCAAAACAGTGCAGAAAAGCCATCAAGGATGACCTCAAAAACAGGAGAGCAGCAGTACTGGTAGATGCAGCAGAAGCTGGGAAAAACATTCGTAATGCCCGCCTGTCCTTCACCAACTACAAAACCAAGATGACTGCCCTCCGACATCATGATGGATCTATCACATCTTCCAGAAGGGCAATGGAGAAGATTATTCATGAATTCTACTCAGATCTCTTTAATAGCCACATCCACTTGCCCACATACCACATACCACATGATGGATATGTCGTTCCCAATGTTCTCCCTTCCGAAATCCAACATGCC